TTGTTTCAACACCAAAGTTTCATCTCAGCTTTTTGCCATATCAATCTTCATTGTATAATTGCTCTCAACAAAGCTCTGGCATAAGTTGAAAAGAGGAAGAAACAACCAGAAATGGAAAAAACAAAGAGCATTGAAGATAATATGCTTGTAAACGGAAAGCCAAACTCTCTGTGGCAGAAAATGCGAACTTTCTATGGCAGGAAATGTGAACTTCCTATGGCAAAGTAATTTGTGGATGAGTGGTGTTATACATATTAGGCGCGTGTATAACACTTGACAAAATAGGTCCAGGATTCTCTTCGTAAGGGGTATTAGTTCCAGTCAAAAAAGATTATGGGGGTAAAAGGATGCTTGTAAAGTTATAGTGTATAACTGAGTTTTCGGGATAAGTTTAGGGGGCAATTTATGTATTTATACCTCAGTTAAGCTAGAGAAAATTCAAATTCAATTTGAGAAAATTAACGAAGAACGTGTCCCAGGAAGTCTGTAAAGAATGCCTCGAAAATTTAAGAGGCAACAGGACTCACACAACACGAACTACTCTCCACAGATGAAATTAACACAACTTAAAATGTTATCATATAATCAATTCTCATTTGACTATTTTTTTAACTGTACTTGACTATGACTAAATTAAGAATCAACAGAACACGTCACGACAAGCGTGTAACGGGAATGTAACAAGACTTTAAGAATTAACAGAACACGTCACGACAAGCGTAACGAATGTAAACAAGACTTTAAGAGTAAACAGAACACGTCACGACAAGCATGTAACGGGAATGTAACAAAGACTTTAAGAATTAACACACGACATGCGCGTAACGACAATGTAGCAAGAATACAAACTAAAATTCATCATAAAGTCAATCCTCAATTAAATAACGAAGCTTTTTTCATTTTACAGATTAAGGAAACAACACATCTGAGATAAAAAAAAAACATCTTAAAAGGAAAACGCAGCAAGAAATTAGTAATGCCCAGAACTCACATGATCAGAAGTATTTTATAGATGACATCAGTCAAAACTAAAATGCATCATAAAATCAATCCTCAATTTAAAAAGCTGGAAAATTCTAACAAGGCTTCTCTCCACAGATGAAATTAACACAACTTGTTATCAGATAATCAATTCTCATTTGACTTTTTTTTTAACTGTACTTGACTACGACTAAATTTAAGAATCAACAGAACACGTCACGACAAGCGTGTAACGGGAATGTAACACGACTTAAAGAATAAACACACATCACGACAAGCGTGTAATGGATGTAACAAGACTTTAACAATTGACAGAACACGTCATGACAAGCGTATAACGACAATATAATAAGAATTTAAGAATCAACAGAACTAAAACGACACAAACCATTTTAATAGATGTAAACCATACACACTAAAATTCATCATAAAGTCAATCCTCAATTAAAAAAATGAAGAATTCTGACAAAGCTTTTTCTTTTTACAGATTAAGGAAACAACACATCTGAGGTTAAAAAAACATCTTCAAAGGAAAACACAGCATGAAATTAGTAATTCCCAGAGCTCACACAATACGAACTAGAACTATTTTATAGATGAAATCAGTCAAAACTAAAATGCATCATAAAAATCCATCCTCAGTTTAAAAAACTGGAGAATTCTAACAAAGCTCTGATTAAGGAAACAAAACATCTGAGTGAAACACATCTCTAAAAAAGCTTAAAACAAAATGCAGTAAGAAATTAATAATCATCATATGAACAACTGCTTTTATCAATGAAATCAGTCAAAGATCATAAAATCAATTTTCAATTTTTAAAAACATAGAGAATTCTAACAAAGCTCTGACTGTGGAAACAAAGCATCTGAGAGAAACACATCTCTAAAAAAAACCTAAAACAAAATGCAGTAAGAAATTAATAATCATCATATGAACAACTGCTTTTATCAATGAAATCAGTCAAAGCTAAAAGCATCATGAAATCAATTCTCAATTTTTTAAAAACATAGAGAATTCTAACAAAGTAACATAACATCAGAGAGAAACACATCTCTAGAAAAGCTTAAAACAAAATGCAGTAAGAAACTAGTAATCATCAGAACTCACAACAACTACTTTAATCAATGAAATCAGTCAAAGCTAGTATATCATAAAATCAAAAAAATAGAGAATTCTAACAAAGTTTTTGTTTGTTTTTTTTACTGTTAAAGCAACAATAATACATAAACACATATCTAGAAAATCTTAAACAAAAAATGCATCAAAACTAAAATGCATCAGTGAGAAATTTACCGATCGGAAAACAAGAGGCGATATGACTGAAATTTTGAAGCGATAGATCAGAGATTTAGGGTTGTAAAACTGTGAGAGAAGAGAAAAATATATAGAGAGGAGAAAACAAGAGGCGGTTTTTGAATATTGTGAGCAGTGAGTAGAGAGGAGGGACTGGACTATAAATGGGAAGATACAAGCGAGGACTATGGAGCGAAAACTTCAAGAAAAATCCAAAACCACTCTTGACGCGGAGCAGCGCCATGCCATTTTTTCCGTGAATTTGTGATGATTTTTTAAAACAATAATCCCTTTAGTTTTCTTTAATTAAATATAATAATTTTTTGGTGAAATTTTCATTTTATTTAGATTGCTCATTATTTTTATTTGACTGCATTAGGAAAAACAAGTTCTAGTAATAATCTTCACTTTTTTTTTGTATTAATTATGTAAATGAGGATCTTTTTAAAAATTATTAAATTTATCTTCTTCTTTTTTTTCCTTTTACAATTATAATAAAAAAGATAATTAACTAATTTCATTGTAAAATAAAAATTGGAGTTTTTACGCAACATAAAGATATTAATATCAGTTGTGAAAATTTGTTTGATCGATTAATTACAACAATTCATGGGATGTAATTAATTTTGACTAAGTAATTAAAGTATTTCTATAGTGATAAGGCGTAAATAACTGATCTATTAATTAAAATTGAAACTTGACTAATTTTGACCGATTAATTAAAGTTTCATTATTGCGATAACACGTGATTAAATTGTTCGATTAAGTAAAGCAAAGCAATTCATGGCACACAACTAACTTTGACTGATTATGAAGTATTTCTATTGCAATACGGCGTAATTAAGTGATCGATTAATTAAAGCAATTTTATTGCAATGGTTCATAACTAGCTCTGACTGATAAATTAAAGTTTGTTTTATCGCGTAAGATATAATTAATTGATCGGTTGATTAAAGTAATTCTATGTGATTAGGAGTAACTAACTTTGACTGATTAATTATAATGATTCTATTGTGTCGGGTTAATTTATATCACATAAATTGGATAGAGGGTATATGTGTGAGATATCCCATATCCAATTTATGTGATATAATTGACTGGACACAATAGAATCACTGTAATTAATCAGTGGAGGTTAGTTACTCCCAATCACATAGAATTACTTTAATCAATCGATCGATTAATTACGTCTTATCGCAATAAAAAAAATTTAATTTATCAGTCAAAGCTAGTTATGATCTATTGCAATAGAATTGCTTTAATTAATCGATCAATTAATTAAGCCTTATTGCAATAGATTTACTTCAATAATCAGTCAAAGTTGGTGCGTGCCGTTAATTGCTTTAATTAATCGAACAATTAATTACGTCTCATCGTAATAGTGATGCTTTAATTAATCAGTCAAGTTTCAAGTTTAATTAATGGATCAATTATTTATGTTTTTTCTCTATAGAAATACTTTAATTAATCAGTCAAAATTAGTTACATCCCATAAATTGTTGTAATTAATCGATCAAACAAATCTTCACAATTGTTACAAATATCTTTATGTTGCGTTGAACCTCCAACTTTTATTTTATAATGAAATTCCTAATTATCTTTTTTATTATAATTTTGTAAAAGAAAAAAATGGATAAATTTAATAATTTTTAAAAAGATCCTCATTTACATAATTAATAAAAGAGAAGGAAAAATTACGCGGCTAAGCAAACTTATACTATTTAATTACTCATCACAGTTATAATTTGATATAATTGCCTCTCGCGACTAACATTAACCATTACTTACGTGATCTGACTTTGTCTGTATAATTTATCTTGTATAATTCGCAATTAACAATTCTTCGTATGATTTGTATTTGTATATGACAATAATTTCCTTTAATTTTTTTTAGTTTTATCCTAATACTTGTTCAATCTTTTCGTATATAATTTTTTTGAAGTTTCTAAAAATATGTAATTTTTGAATTTTATATGATATAATTCATATAATGTTATTTATATAATTGTTTAAAATTCATATGTTTATGTTTGTATTAATTCGTTATTTCAAATTTTATCATATTTTTATAATTCAGACTTTATATTCCTCAATTATCAAAAACACGCTAATTATACGATCATACCTACAATATACAAATTATTGTCTAGTCCAGCTTGCCTCTGCCCTCCCTTTCCCATTCTCATCTGCCTCCCTCTCCCAAAAAAGTCACAAAATCATTATAATCCGATAAAGTGGGCGAAAAAGATATAAAACATATCATAACTGTTAAATTCTAAAAAAAGGGGGTCGCTCGCCTCTCTCCTCCCTCTCTCAATCTCGCTCGCCCCAAAATATACATATGTACAAATACATATATATGTTATTAATTTTTTAGTAAATAAAGTTGAATAGTGTCTTAGGGCCCGTTTGGATGGGCTTAATAAAAACAGTTTTAAAAAAGTACTTTTGAAAGTGCTGAAATTTATTTTTAAAATAAGCAGTTATGTGTTTGGATAAAAGTGCTGAAGTTGCTATGTCAAACGTGAAAAGCTGAGCCAAACAGGCTCTTAGACTAGCACTTTTAGGGTCTTTACCATATTCTTCATAGCAAATTATGCTAGTTTTTGTTTAACCATTTCTTTTTAGAAAAAAAAACCACTTCTATTTGGAATGTGCAAGTCCAGATTTAATTGAATTTTAATGCAGGTCCTAGACGCAGGTAGAAAACCGAAAAAAAGGTGATAAGTCATGGGGAAAATCCATTAATTGGAACAATTCAAATACAGAATTGTCAACACTAACAGGAACCAAACTACCAGAGGAATTTCTGAGTCTCACATCCTGTCATGTTTAAGTGCTTAAAAGAAACCATTATTTTACAGACCTTCAAACAATCTTAAATGGTCTTCGAATGTCTCCCCATGACGGATTTTGGACAGTGATTCATCTTCTTCCACCTACAAACAATTGCACAATCCTTTTCAAAATTTGTATCAACATTACAATAGTAAAGATGATCAAATGCATGACTTGGATGTGAAGTTACATATCATACGAGAAGAGATGTTCACATGACTATCAAATTCATAGATCACTTTGATAACGTTAAGCAGCAACTAAGAAAATCATGGATAGTGCTTCAACAACATAATTTTCAGAATGATACAAGCAAAAAGTCGCATTCAACTCTCTTTATCTTGTGAGTAGCAGTAGTATCATTAACAAAATCCAGCCACGCACCAAGTTAGCATTTAAAAGGACATTCTTTTGCAGTCTTTAGAAAAGCAAAAGGGCATGTGAGTTATAGATCTTGTCAATAGATACTAGTCATATGGAAGCTTGACTCTCAATTCTTCACAATAAAATACCAGCTTAAGATTTAGGATCAAGTTAATTGTTAATGTAACCATGTACACTTTGGGTACAAGATGTTGACTAGAACACCAAGTCTTTTTCCATCATGACAAGGTTTGAGGGTAGATCAGTGGGCACAAGGAACAGCAGAAACAAATACTAGGATCAAAACATCAATTTAATAACAGGTTAAGACAATATACCCAGTTCTCTGGTGGGCGCATCTTGAGATTGTAAGTTGATGCCATACTCATGCAGTAAGCACCTGCATCGTGAACTACCAAACCAATGCCCTGAATCCAAATGTCATAATTAGTATCGCTTCAATGTGTATCAGGAAATCCTTAAATGAGAAGCTAAACATTGTCCTGTTCTAGTAGGCAATGACAGGTCAAAACAAATTATCCTAGAAGGGGCGGGAAGTTCACGGTCCTTCCCCAGGAAATCAGATAACTCACATACAGGACCAACAACATCAAACTTAGCAATTGCAGCTTCCGGAGGTGGAGGGGAAACAAGCTCTATATGCTGCAATCAACAAATCATTCACTGAGCATGAGTGCCGGAGAAGATCATAAAATCCACACAATCGTAAATCAGATATATGCATAGTGTGAACAAAGAATGAGGTCCAAATTGTATGCTCATACAAATTGAGTATAATTTGTATGCTCATACAAATTGAATACTCATTATTTTTATTTGACTGCGTTAGGAAAAACAAGTTCTAGTAATAATCTTCACTTTTTTTTTGTCTTAATTATGTAAATGAGGATCTTTCTAAAAATTATTAAATTTATCTTCTTCTTTTTTTCCTTTTACAATTATAATAAAAAAGATAATTAACTAATTTAATTGTAAAATAAAAATTGGAGTTTTTACGCAACATAAAGATATTAATATCAGTTGTGAAAATTTGTTTGATCGATTAATTACAACAATTCATGGGATGTAATTAATTTTGACTAAGTAATTAAAGTATTTCTATAGCGATAAGGCGTAAATAACTGATCTATTAATTAAAATATTGAAACTTGACTAATTTTGACCGATTAATTAAAATTTTATTATTGCGATAACACGTGATTAATTGTTCGATTAATTAAAGCAATCCATGGCACACAACTAACTTTGACTGATTATTGAAGTATTTCTATTGCAATACAACGTAATTAATTGATCGATTAATTAAAGCAATTCTATTGCAATGGTTCATAACTAGCTTTGACTGATAAATTAAAATTTGTTTATTGCGTAAGACATAATTAATTGATCGATTGATTAAAGTAGTTCTATGTGATTGGGAGTAACTAACTTTAACTGGTTAACTATAATGATTCTATTGTGTCGGATTAATTTATATCACATAAATTAGATAGAGAGTATATGTATGAGATATCACATATCCAATTTATGTGATATAATTGGCTAGACACAATAGAATCACTGTAATTAATCAGTGAAGTTACTTACTCCCTATCACATAAAATTACTTTAATCAATCGATCAATTAATTACGTCTTATCGTAATAAAAAAAACTTTAATTTATCAGTCAAAGCTAGTTATGATCTATTGCAATAGAATTACTTTAATTAATCGATCAATTCATTACGCCTTATTGCAATAGAAATACTTTAATAATCAGTCAAAGTTGGTGCGTGTCGTTAATTGCTTGAATTAATCGAACGATTAATTACGTCTCATCGTAATAGTGATGCTTTAATTAATCAGTCAAGTTTCAACTTTAATTAATGGATTAATTATTTACGTTTTTTTTCTATAGAAATACTTTAATTAATCACTCAAAATTAGTTACATCCCATAAATTGTTGTAATTAATCGATCAAACAAATCTTCACAATTGTTACAAATATCTTTATGTTGCGTTGAACCTCCAACTATTATTTTATAATGAAATTCCTAATTATCGTTTTTATTATAATTTTGTAAAAGAAAAAAATGGATAAATTTAGTAATTTTTAAAAAGATCTTCATTTTCATAATTAATAAAAGAGAAGGAAAAATTATGCGGCTAAGCAAACTTATACTATTTAATTACTCATCACAGTTATAATTTCATATAACTGCCTCTCATGACTAACATTAACCATTACTTACATGATCTAACTTCGTTTGTATAATTTGTCAAGTTTGTATAATTCTCAACTAACAATTCTTCATATGCTTTGTATTTGTATATGACAATGATTTCCTTTGATTTTTTAGTTTTATCCTAATACTAATTCAATCTTTTTGTATATAATTTTTTTAAAGTTTATAAAAACGTGTAATTTTTGAATTTTGTATGATATAATTTATATAATGATACTTGTATAATTGTTTAAAGTTCATATATTTATGTTTGTATCAATTCGTTATTTCAAATTTTATTATATTTTTATAGTTCAGACTTTATATTCCTCAATTAACAAAAACACTCTGATTATACAATCACACCTGCAATATACAAATTATTGTCTAATCTAGCTTGCCTCTGTCCCATCTTTCCCATTATCATCTGCCTCCCTCTCCCAAAAAAGTCACAAAATCATTATAATCCGATAAAGTGGGCGAACAAGATATAAAACATATCATAAATTCTAAAAAAAAGGGGGTCGCTCGTCTCTCTCCTCCCTCTCTCAATCTCGCTCGCCCCAAAATATACATATGTACAAATACATATATATGTTATTAATTTTTTAGTAAATAAAGTTGAATAGTGTCTTAGACTAGGCACTTTTAGGGTCTTTACCATACCATATTCTTCATAGCAAATTATGCTAGTTTTTGTTTAACCATTTGTTTTTAGAAGAAAAAAAAACCACTTCTATTTGGAATGTGCGAGTCCAGATTTAATTGAATTTCAATGCAGGTCCTAGACGCCAGGTAGAAACCGAAAAAAAGGTGGAAAGTCATGGGGAAAATCCATTAATTGGAACAATCCAAATACAGAATTGTCAACACTGACAGGAACCAAACTACCAGAGGAATTTCTGAGTCTCACATCCTGTCATGTTTAAGTGCTTAAAAGAAACCATAAGTTTACAGACCTTCAAACAATCTTAAATGGTCTTCGAATGTCTCCCCATGACGGATTTTGGACAGTGATCCATCTTCTTCCACCTACAAACAATTGCACAATCCTTCTCAAAATTTTGCATCAACATTACAATAGTGAAGATGATCAAATGCATGTCTTGGATATGAAGTTACATGTCATACGAGAAGAGATGTTCATATGACTATCAGATTCATAGTATACTATTGTCATGATCACTTTGATAACGTTAAGCAGCAACTAAGAAAATCATGGATAGTGCTTCAACGACAAAATTTTCAGAATGATACAAGCAAAAAGTCGCATTCAACTCTCTTATCTTGTGAGTAGCAGTAGTATCATTAACAAAATCCAGCCGCGCACCAAGTTAGCATTTAAAAGGACATTCTTTTGCAGTCTTTAGAAAAGCAAAAGGGCATGTGAATTATAGATCTTGTCAATAGATACTAGTCATATGGAAGCTTGACTCTCAATTCTTCACAACAAAATACCAGCTTAAGATTTAGGATCAAGTTAATTGTTAATGTAACCATGTACACTTTGGGTACAAGATGTTGACTAGAACACCAAGTCTTTTTCCATCATGACAAGGTTTGAGGGTAGATCAGTGGGCACAAGGAACAGCAGAAACAAATACTAGGACCAAAACATCAATTTAATAACAGGTTAAGACAATATACCCAGTACTCTGGTGGGCGCATTTTGAGATTGTAAGTTGATGCCATACTCATGCAGTAAGCACCTGCATCGTGAACTACCAAACCAGTGCCCTGAATCCAAATGTCATAATTAGTATCGCTTCAATGTGTATCAGGAAATCCTTAAATGAGAAGCTAAACATTGTCCTGTCCTAGTAGGCAATAAGAGGTCAAAACAAATTACCCTAGAAGGGGCGGGAAGTTCACGGTCCTTCCCCAGGAAATCAGCCGACTCACATACAGGACCAACAACATCAAACTTAGCAATTGCAGCTTCCGGAGGTGGAGGGGAAACAAGCTCTATGTGCTGCAATCAACAAATCATTCACTGAGCAGGAGTGCAAGAGATCATAAAATCCACACAATCGTAAATCAGATATATGCAGACTGTGTAAAGAATGAGGTCCAAATTGTATGCTCATACAAATGGAGTATAATTACCAACAGTAGGCGACTTCAAAAAGTTGAACAATATGACCACCAACAAGAACAAAGCATAAGATTTTTGGAGTACGCATTCACAAAAGTTCTGCAGCACAAGCATTTTAAGTAAACACATTTAAAAAGTAAATAATTGCTAAATACCCCTAAAGAATAGAGAACTTCAGAAGAGAAAAGGAGCAGGGACACCAGGGATGTTTGGGGGATGAGGAGAACTGCATCCAACTGTTACAACATGAACTGAAAGCATATAATTTTACATCCATTTAAACGAAATATAGATCCATTAAACGACATATAACAGTCATGAATACAGATCAAAGGAAATGGAAACTGTTTGAATAAGCTAGACTGGACTGACTGGTTAATAGCTTAATATGTATCAGAGAGAAGGAAGAGTCAATTCTGATAGCTGAAAGAAAAATAGTTTGCAGCCTCACCTGATAAGCATCATAAAGACTTGGACGTATAAGCTCAGCCATACTACCATCAATCACAATAAAGTTCTTGGTCCCATTGGTTTTCACTCCAGTAACTCTGTTAACCAAGCAGCATGTGTTTGCAATTAGTGATCTTCCAGGTTCAATAATGAGATTGAGGTTTCGAGAAAGGACTAATTCTCGTACCTGCAATACACATGAAAGGAAGTGTCAGCTAAATCCATGTTAGACCCACAATTAGAGCACTGACTTCAATTTTAGTCAAAACTTAAAGTTCCACCAAGCTGATATACATTGTAGCCTTGCACTGAATCAATCAAAACTTTGAGAAATGGAGCATCAGTACGCGAAAGCAATCTATCTTTCTCACCCATATTGCTCAATATAAATTGTGGCAATCAAGGTGGTTCTGCTGTCAATGCACATATCATCAACCCCCTAAACTTCAGTTGAATGAGAATGCTGTGGTAGCCAGCTCAACTGACCATCTCCATGGGAAAATAAAGAGAAAACATATGTTGACATATATTATTACTTGCTTCGACTCACCAGTACAGTAACATCATATCAGGTATGTTCTAAAGCTTTTTGACAAGTAAATAAGAATCAAAGTGAAATAAAGTCACTACTAAGAACAAGTATTGGGGTAACTCACTCTACTAAAAACACTCTGCCACATGTCATATTATATGAGGTAGAAAGTTTACCGTATTAATAAGATCTCTAGGTGAAGGAAGGATAGCTCCAGCATGATAGTAATCAATCCCTAAACCACCTCCAATATTCAGGTAATCAATTTCAAATCCTTGAGATCGGATTTCGTCAATGTAGTTCACCATCAAGGCAGCTGCATCTCGAAAAATGTCTACCTGGAAAAGACGACAAAGTTTTATGTCAACAAAACACTGGGAGTAATGTCATCCACCATGGAGATATTACATTTTATATGAACAAAATATTTTCTAAAAGATATATACACAGGGCAGTATATTTAAAATGGAGAGTAAGAACAGAATAAAGGATCAGCTAAATATGGTAATAGCTAGATTGGCTGAGATATTACTAGGAGGGAAGTCTGATATACATATGGAATGGCAGCTAAATTCTTGCACTTTCCCCTTCAAATATTTGTCTTAACAAATATATATATATATATATATATATATATATATATACTACTTAACCTAA